TACTAAATCATAGAATGGATTTAACAAACTTACTTTCCCCAAACAATATACATATGGAAAGACAATGTTTTTTTTCCAATCATGACCATACCAAATATGCCCTATTTCTAGGAGACATGAAAAATAGAAAAGTGTGGTGATATTGTGTTCCCCAATATATTATGCACCCTAATAAATTTATCTGGGGTCAGAGAACAGAACAGCCACTAGATATAGAGGCCAGAAAATGGTGGCACTCACACGTCTTTAATCCTAGCATTCCAGAGGCAGAGATCCACCGGGATCTCTATGAGTTCAAGGCTATACTGGAAACAGCTAGGCATGGTAACAAAAGCCTTTAATTCCAGGAAGTAATGGCAGAAAGCAGAAAGGTATATAAGGTGTGAGGACCAGGAACTAGGTGGTTAAGCTTTGAGGCGTTTGAGCAGCACAGTTCAGCTGAGAGGCATCCAGTCTGAGGAAACAAGATCAGCTGAGGAATTGGCAAGGTGAGGTAGCTGCGGTTTGTTCTGCTTCTCTGATCTTCCAGTGTTCACCCCAATACTTGGCATCAGGTTTGTTTCTATTAATAAGATCTTCTAAGATTCATACTACCGAAAAGTGGGGTTTAGAATGAGGATGAGGTCAGCTAAGGGCTGGATTTAATGGGGTTGTCTCTGTTGTTTATTCAGAGCCAAGCAAAACAGCTTGTGAAACTTCACAGACAGTGTGACAATCAGTCCCAGGGCTTGTGGAGAGCAATTAAAAGTAAAAGGGTAATTTTAGTGTGTGTGGAAGGAACAACAAAATAGGTGGGTGGGATGGTGTCGAAAGGCTCATGGGAAGATGCTTGCCACAGCCTCCAGTAACATGGAAGAAATACTGCCTAGAAATACAGCTCACCCTCCACTCACTTCTACTAACAGCACATTTCAGACTCGGTGTTCTACACTTTTCATATAATGTTAAGGGGATACATCTTATTACTAGTTCTGTATAACTCTCCATAGTTTCTAAAGGCCTTTCTGATGATGCTTTTCACTTTATGCTTTAAAGATTTGTTCATTGACACTGCAGCCTAGAAATGGCTTGGAACTTTTCTCCCTCTCACCTACAGGGTAGAAAACTTAGACTGAAGTACAAAGTTCTTCGTTAAATTTGAATTTTTTATAAACAATCCAACTTTATTAAGGATTGGAATCTCCAGCAGTTAAGAGCACTTACCACTCTTGCAGAAGACCTGGGTTCAACTCCCATCACCCACATGGCAGCTAACAGCTGTCTGTAACACCAGTTGCAGGCACACATGTGGTACAGAGACATACATGCAGGCAAAACACCGAGACACATATAATACATTTTTAAAAATTAAGTCAGTTGGTTGATAAATGTCTTCCGTGAATCCTTGTCTGAAGGTCGGTTTCTCATAGAGCACAACAACCATTCACTAGAACTTAGAAGGAATTTGGAGTAGCTGCCTTGAGTAGCATCCCATTTATTAACTACAGTTCACATTTACAATCTAATAAAAACTGTCCTATGTTTTGTATGTCCAGTCCCTAGCAACAAATGAGTAGCCATTTGTTACGTTTTCCTGAGAGACTGTTATGCCTTTCCTATCCTGTTCATATTTCTCCAGCTTTGAAACTACTGACAAGAAATAAACCAATTAGGCATCTGATAAAATGTCATTTCTACTCATATATGTGAGTTTTTAAAAGGAATGCCTTAGCCCAGCTGCTCCAGGAAAAGACCAATGAACCATGAAGAAATATGCTTTATCAAGAAAAAAAGAAAATAATTGCCTAACTGGGTCAGGTCACAGATGGGTATCTCACAATCTCTTTAGATGACAGTTAAGAAAAGATACCCCCCTACACACACACCTCAACTTCTAAAGAATCACTTGGAATGAAGCTCCTTATGGCAATCCATTAATGAGTCATCACCAAAGTCAACAGATAGTCCGAGGAAAGGACAGTTTACTCTACTAATCTCTTGAGCATCTTCATTTTCTTAATAGGAAAGCCTTGCTCTTGACATGCTAAAGCCGAACAACTCTGATGACAATATTTGGATTATCTACAAACCATTTCAGATATTCACAACTTAAAAGATAAAGTCTTCTTTGCAGACACAAAGGAGGCATCTGGGAGAGGTTGGAGGGGGAAGTGGGGAACGAATATGATCAAAACACATTGTATGCATATATGAAATTTCCAAAGAATAAATAGAAATATTTTTAAAGTCTATTTACAGACTGTCTTCCAGTTTATAATTACAAGAAAATCTTGTGTCAAAACACCAGTATTTGATGAAACATGCCCATATGGCATTGCTGGAATAACAGTATAAACACCTTGATCATGGGGAGAAAGCCCCTCATTCTTGAAGAGTTAGTATAAGGCAAATAATTCAAAATAGCACGGCTATAGGTGGGACAGCCAGGCTGAAAGAATAAATAGGAGAAGAAATCTAGGCTCCAGTAAAAAAGGGGAGGAGCGAGAAAAGGAGGAAGGAGGACACCAGGGACCAGCCACCCAGCCACACAGCCAGCCATGGAGTAAGACGGAAAGAAAGATATATAGAATAAAGAAAGGTAAAAGCCCAGAGGCAAACGTAGTTAAAGAGAAACAGGATGAATTAAGTTAAAAAAGCTGGCTAGAAACAAGCCAAGCTAAGCCTGGACATTCATAAGTAAGAATAAGTCTCCATGTATTTATTTGGGAGCTGGGTGGCAGTCCCCCCCCCAAAAAAAAAAAGAGTGAAAAAAAAGAAGAAAAACCCAGGCAACTACAGGGAAAATAAGAGGTCAGTTTAGGGGGCAGAAAGAGGGGGAGAGCACTGAAAGAGACTACTGGAAAAGGGTGGCGAGCATTTCAGGGTCAGGTAAAAACCTGGCACAAGGAAATCTCCCAGGAATCTACAAGGATGATCCCAGCTAAGACTCTTCGCAATAGTGGATACATAGTCTGAACTGGCCATCTCCTGTGACCAGGCAAGACTTTAAGGAGGGATTGGGAAATCAACCGACCACATAACCTTTAACCTACAGTCTATCCTGTCTATGGGATGTGCTGGAGTTAGGGTGGTGCAGAGATTGTGGGAATGGCCAACCATGACTGGTCTAGCCTAAAACCCATGCCAGGATATAAGTCTGCCCTTGATACTGCTTGGAGCAGCAGGACCCACAGACTGGATGACCCAGAGACCTAGGATAGAACCAAACATGACTAGAGGGGGTAAATATGTCAATATAATAAAGCCAAATAATATTCTGCTATATTCATAGATTGGTGCCTAGCCCAGTTGTCATCAGAGAGGCTTCACCCAGCAACTGATGGAAACATGCAGAGACCCACAGCCAAACATTAGGCTGAGCTCAGGGAATCCTGCAGAAGAGGGAGGAAGGACTGTAGGCACCAGAGGGGTCAAGGACACCACAAGAAAACTCACAGAATCAACTAGCCTGGGCTCATAGGGGCTCCCAGAGACTGAACTGACAACCAGGGAGCCTGCATGGGACTGACTGACCCAGACACTCTGCCTATATGTTACAGTTGTGTGGCTTGATCTGAATAGAAATGGAGTAGATTGGGGGTACAGAGGAGGAAGTGCATACTGGGAGGAGAGGGAGGGGGAAACTGTAGTCAGTATGTAAAATAAATTAAAAAAGAAGGGAAGCAAAGCAAAACTATTTCAAGGGCAAAGATGTTTTGTTTATGTTTTAATCATGCAGGGATTCTTTAATCATACAGGGACTATATCTACATTCTTGAAAATTTGGAAAATTCTTAATACAACACTGATCCTCTGAAAGTAGATAATAAATTATTTTTCTTATATTTTTCTCTACATTTTTATAGAAAGTGATGTGTAGAGGAATGCCAGAGAAAAAGTATGAACAGCTATCATTAATAAAAGCACCAAAAATCAAAAGAATGTCCCCTCTCCAGGGAGATATAGATAGATAGATAAATAGATAGATAGATAGATAGATAGATAGATAGATAGATAGATAGATAGATAGATAGATAGATAGATAGATGATAGATAGATAGATAGATAGA